AATGTCAAGTATCAGAGCTGTTTATGCAATGGATACATTTTATTCAGAATGCTAATACTTAACATTGCTTTATCTAAGCGCTGAAAAGATTGTAACAATCAATTTTACCTAAATTCTGCATTCATTTTTCGTTTCGAAGAACGGTCATATCTCGGGGTCCAGAGGCGCTTGGCAGAATTGGAAAGCAGATTTGGAATCACCGCTCAATACTCTTCAAAGCTGTATGGGTCTCATCTGGAAAGGCCACTTCGACTCGACACGGTTCCCTTGTGAGTTCAACTCATACCTTCGATACATAGAGCCATGTACTCTGGTAACCTTCACTTTGAGCGTCATAGTAGAACACAACCTTCACCTAGAGAGAAGTACAGAAGTCATCCGGGACGAAGCCCCGGATATTATGACATAGCTAATGAAATAACCATGTAGGAATAAATGTGAATGAGGCAAATATAGCTATGACATCCAAAAGAGGCTCAAAAAACCGTAGGATTGCGTTTTTATGGCCTTTTTTGCTGAAGAGGAGGTTTTTGTTCAAAAATTCAGTTAAAAACTAGGACAAAATTTCTCAATTAACCTTCCTCTAGGCTGCGATTGAGCGTTGGAAGTTCATGAAAGCCGCTGGAGTTTAATAAAAACGAATGCGCTCAAATCTTGTGCAGAGAGTCGCCACATAAATGCTGGCCTATCTCGTGAGTGATTTTCAAGACCCGCGACGTTGTTAGTGCTCCTGGCCGTCTCATGAGGATCACAACGATATATAATGTTATAGGGTTTCATTATGATCTCGCGGAGATCAGTGACCAGAGCCAAATGCCCCGTCGGCTCTGGTCTGTCTCCGCTGCTTGCTCGTCTGCGTCTCCGCGCGTTGCGCGCTACCTCGCTACCTCAAACACGGGGCGCGGGGCATTTGGCTCTGGTACCCTTTTCTTTGTTGTTCGAAACCCAGTTTCGACAATCTATATATCACATTAAAGCTCTTGATCTCTATTTTCACGCTGACAACGTCGCAAGACTCCTTTTTATGATTGAAACGAGAAATCTGGGAAAAACGACGTTTTCGAAAACCGTCGTTTTACCCAGATTTCTCGTTTCAATCATAAAAAGGAGTCTCAGAAAACCTCTTGTTTTTTCTTTAGTTTAACTCTTTTCAGTCGATTTTTTTGTGTACTCGATAGGTCTTGTTTCTGTCTATGATGTAGACAACGTCGCCGAGCTTACTTCTTTGCTTACGCCGTTTTTTTGTAAAAATTACTAAAAAGTGCCTTTTCCTTTACCTTGATCTCTTTCAGTGCTTTTGCAACGAATTCTTTCCAGATTGGGCGATACTTGCTCAGAATTATGAGCGGAAGAATTTAGACAACGTCGCAGGATACGAAACGACTATGCGGGGGTGAAGATTTGAAGGACACATCAATCAGATTGGCGTCGATTGCAACATATATTTTCAGACGTGTTTAACATGTTCAATTCAGTGCTGACAAGTTTTCCATCTTCGGTCTCCCAACTACCGCCACAGCTAAACAGCGCCTTCTTTAAACTGGAAAAGAACTTTGTTCTTGTTGGCCCAATTTGACCGGCAATCCTTAAAGACAGCGTCCAGGCAGATCTGGGCCTATGGGGCTTTTACGTGGAAAGTACTTTTGGGGCCCTAACTAAGGCACTGTCCAAGCCGCAGCTCAGGTAGTGTTGTAATGGCTGAGATATTCCCCTCGAAACTGGACCCCGCGACCGTGTTTTGTATGGATTCATGGCACAAAGCGTGGATCCTGGCGCGAAACTGCCATGAATATGCGAATACGTTCGCGGGGGCCAGTTTCGATGGGAATATCTCAGCCATTACAACACTACCTGAGCTGCGGCTTGGACAGTGCCTTAGTTAAGGCCCCAAAAGTAGTTTCCACGTAAAAGCCCCATAGGTCTAGATCTGCCTGGACGCTGTCTTTAGAAGGAAACTGTGCGTGGGAAACCACCAAGTTGAGGTTTCAAACTTTGGTGGTGTGCTAACCTCTACATTGTTCAAATTTTATTGTTTAACTAGCTGGCTTACCCGGCTCCGCCGTATCCGGACCAAACTTGGCACACATACACTTCGGGCCCCGGCGGGTGTCACAGTCCACTTTTCGTTATCGATCGATGTCGATTTTACCGATTTTTATAGATTTTTTTGCAGAGTTCACCTACAGGGCTAGGAGTTGGCACAGGGGGGGAAGTGAGCATGGGGATTCCGAATACAATATTAGTTTTCAGAATTATCGATTACTTTTATTGATTTCATCGATTTTTTGTAAATTTTGACATGCGAGGCTGGGATTTTGCACAGGGGGGTAATCGAGCATGCTGATTACGAACACAATATTAGTTTTCAGGATCGTCCATTACTTTTATCGATTTTATCGATTTTTTTTGTAAAGTTTGACCTGCGGGGCTGGGAGTTTGCACAGGGGGTAATCGAGCATGCAGATTACGATATTGTATTCGGAATCCCCATGCTCGATTACCCCCCTGTGCGAACTCCCAGCCCCGTAGCTCAAACTTTGCAAAAAATCGATAAAATCGATAAAAGTAATCGATAATCCTGAAAACCAATATTGAATTCGGAATCCCCATGCTCGATTACCCCCCTGTGCCAACTCCCAGCCCCGTAGCTCAAACTTTGCAAAAAAATCGATAAAATCGATAAAATCGATATCGATCGATGACGAAAAGTAGCCTATGACACCCGCCGGGGCCCGTAGTGTATGTGTGCCAAGTTTGGTCCGGATCGGTTCAGAAATGGAATTTTCTATTCGGAACATACGTACAGACATACATACATACAGACAGACAAACAGACATTCAGCTTTATATATAAGATTTATATTTCTAGAATTCCATCTATTTTTTTTGAAACAACCTTCACTTTTTATAGGGGGCAGGAACTCAAACAACTATCACTTTTTAGCCTCTGTCTCTTGACTATCGAAGGTATGGTTCAACTGTTCGAGCCAAGTCGGTGCTTGTGGAGTCTGTTTCTATGACTGTTTGAAGTGCCTTCATCTGCGTGTGTGCGCATACGGGCTGCATATGTAGATAAAAATCTGGCTACAAATGCAATCCAGTGTTTTCACGCCCCCCCCCCCCCCTTGGCCGATTGAGACGGTCAAGAGGCGCGATTTCTCAGGCTGTAACCAGCTCAAAACTCCAGTTTAGTGTTATGCTAGTCCCAAAAAGTACCAGATAAAGTGCGTTGGCTTACTATTCATCTGTCTGAGGTTACCATTTGCTCAGTTTGGTGGCTTTTGCTTGAAAACGGACCGATATTTACGAATTTGTTCTTAACTGTATTTTTATGTTTCTTTGACCTTCAAAATTGCTGCTTTGAGTTGATTGGAAGGCAGCAAGATTAAGCGCTCATACAACTATCTAATATACCTCCTTCTTAAATTCAGGTACTTTTGGAATGTTGTAAAACACATTATGTGCTATTTGATGTCATCTGGCAATAAAGATTGCAGCTCTTGACATACACCCTTTGGCCGGAATCCCTCGTCCATCCCCTTCAGCAATCTCCAAGGCTGCAAAACGCCATAAAAAGTACTTTCTTTAACAACTGCAAAAATACAAGCACAGTCCTGGAATGATATCCACGAAAGTCCATAATGGACTCAGACAAATCACCGGACTTCCACAGGACAAGCCAAATTTGCAGAAGTCTCGCAGGACTTTGTTCACTATTGCAAAAATGATAGCCTTGAAAATCGGAACTTCCGCGGGATTTTCATGCCAAACTGGTTGAAAACCGGAACTTCCGCAGAACCTTCTTCAAAATCCTGCGGGAATTCCAAAAGATGCCAGAGGTTCCGCAGCGCTTTGGCCTGCCAGAACTTCCGCAGGACTTTGAATGTGTTGTCTCGCGATGTTGCCTCGCCAACAACTAGAGTGCATTATCGAACATGTCAGCCGTAGAGAGGATGGTAGGTGGGTCTCACAGTCAATAGAGTGAGGTTCAAATCTCACGTGGGTACTTTTCCGTTATCCGGACCCATTTTCACAGAAGGCTCTTATAGAATATGTTTTTTAGTCTAGAAACAATTTTTCATAAATTCTAAGAGGAGTGTCTCCCCGCCACGTTCAGCGAAAATTTGACACGTTTCAGTCCATTTCGACATGTTTTTTGAGATCATTTCCGGTGAGGTAAAAGAGCATTTGTGATCACCTAAAAGCTGTGCAACTCTCTTCTATAAGAGCAAAACAATCTAGAACCATTATTAGAACATCTTGCTCACTTTTAGAAATGATTCAAGATTGTCTTTCTCTTCAGACTTTCAGCCATGCGAGTTTAGCCAAGAAAGACTATAAATGATGGCTTAAAGTACTTCACTGCTGCTTGTGCCGCCGCTTAGATGATGGAACCTTAGCGCACTTCTCTATTCTGGGCAAGTCTAATCTGTACATTAGTGACAGTTGACCTCATTATTATGAAAATGTTCATTTTTGATGTTTAATTGAAAATGGGGTCATTATTGACTGAAAAACAAGTTGAACTCACGTCGCTGGATAGGGTAACCACAAACTCCTGGTAAAACTTGTTAAACATGTAGATGGCATGTCAATTTTTTTGACATGTGGCAAAAGGTTGACACTTCTTACTATGAAGTTAGGACCAGATATAGTACAAGGAATGAAGCATTGTCCTTCTTTGAAAAATGGGTCCGGATAACGGAAAAGTACCCTCACGTGTTCTCTTTTGCTGTTGTGGTTGGCATTCTTCGGAACTTCCGCAGGACCCCATTTCGGAACTTACGCAGCACGTTTACAGAACTTTCGCAGATGACCCGGCGGAACTTCCGCGAGCGCTGCGGAAGTTCGGGTCATTTGTCTGAGCAAACTTTGCAACATGTCATGATGATACCTATGGAAACATTTCTGAGGGATGACTACATACGCGCTTTATTTTTCCTCGAATTATTTTGATCCTTGAAACGTCAATCAGTTAACAATAAAATTGTTTATTGATGCGGTTTTAACATAGCTTTATAAGTCTAATTACTTCAGTTATTAGAGTATTACACCTAACGAATGACATCATTTTCTTTGCTTTTTCTCAAGGGAGCATAACATAAAACTACTAGAACCCTAGAGGATTGGTGCGGAACCAGTCTGCTGGAAACGGGTCTTCCTCTGTTGCCTAAATACCCTCGAGCGATATCTAACCTCTTGTTATGACCATATGTTACCTTTATGAGCGATAATTTTTGTTTAGATCCTGCAATCCCTGTTGCTGGAACCGGTACATCTAAGGAGGCACTTGCTACCGAGAAGTTTCTGAAGAACAAGTAAGCAGCTGCGACAAATCAACATGGAAATTTACAAACTTTAGGGTTTCGGGAGGAATGGTAATAGTTGGTGGATTTTTTGCTTTTTCGGGAAGTTTCTTCTCCCAGTCGTATGGGTCGGTGAATCTGCTATCGAACGATGTCTAGAATACATCAAGTTTGGTACATTGTCCTTACTTGAATTTCCCAGCCTTCATGATTTCCATGAAATGACGGTGCAACAGGCTATAGTCGGGATGGCTGTAGTAGTTCAATGTACTGCAACAGTGCATTTTGAAAGAAAAAAGTCAAAAGTTACGAGCAACTCACTCGAGATGACGGGCGAATTGTACGAGTTGGTAAGGGCTATTCTTCAATAACGTTTCATGCAATGTTTTCTTTTTCATTTCATTTATATCTTTCTTTTCTCTGAAGTCGAGTGAGGTCTATCAGGCTCAAGATGATCTGATAAACCTCAAATTGCTCCATGGTAGACTCCCTCGCATCTCGGCCAACATATACAAAACGCTCCACAAATCGTCTACCCGACCTTGTTCCCCTTTCTCGTGCGTGTTGATGGAACAGTACCGAGTAGTGCCCCTCAAATGAGCATTTTTTAGTTTTTTCAACAAGGCTTTAGCTTTACCGAAACAATGCTCTAGGCCTTGGTCGTCTCATTTGAAGTCGGTGGTCATCACCAATCACAACGAATTCTCGTGCTAGTCCAAAGTCCAAGATATGTAAGAATCGATATTCTGGAGTGTTCGGTCTCCCTAGTGCGACATTTGCAGGCTTCAAATCTCTATGAACGAATCCTATCTAGAAAAAGAAATGCTTTAGCGTATGCTGAAAAGCAATATCAGGGCTCGTAGTAATCCCACTTGTTAGCTACGCCTTACGACGAGCGCGCACTGTGACAATGCATGCAGCTCATGCCGTTGTCAGATTTTGTGTTACACAAAGGAACTCTCCGCTGCCGAAGTCTTCGATGAAAAGCGGGGTGAGGAAGTGCAAATATGGCTGGTGCTAGTAACATTGCTATAGTGATTGGGAGCTAGCTCTGTACTGGTTGACAGTGCTTGCTGCTTGTGTGCCCCGTCCGGGTGCAGAGGGTTCGTCAAACCGCTATCTTCTCAACCGCTAGATGGAATCGATGACATGAGGTGCATCCGCACTCAGGCACTCAACAAGATACGTGCCCGAGCTCAGAGATGGAAATGAATTCGCACGAGTTTCGTCAAACGAAAAGAAGGCAGGCAAAAACAAAGTGCTAAGCACAGAAACGCAGAAAGTGCACGAGATTAAAAGTGGAGCACATCGAGTTCCTCCGTATGAGCGAGACACTGATTGCAATCAGTATAAAGCTGATCAGGGCACAAGTGTCGAAACGCTGGAAGCTTTGTTCCTGGTTATTTGTGCTGCAATATGCCCTTTGATGCAGGAAAGGTCTATTAACTTCGATTATAAAACAAAAATAAATTTCTAAAACTTTGCTTAATTGTGATTCTCGTGCTCAAAGGCAGTGTTCTTGCAAATACTCAATTCCTAGGTTTTTGCTTACCTGGCATATACATTCCAATGACTAAGAAGTATGAATGAAGAGCATTTTGAACATAGATCAACATAGGACTGAGAGCTGCTTTATTTATGTTATCTGTGGAGTGCCATGATATCGCCCCAATCAAGGACGCAGTGCATCCACAGTTGCCGGAAACACAGGCTAAGATACGCCAAAGCTTGCTTACTTCATCGAGAAATTTTCGCGCAACGCTGTGTTTGGCGCATCATTTCTTCGTTAGCTACTCGATATTAAAAACCTATAACGCGTGACGGGGAGCCCTGTTCACGTTTATTACAGATTCATACGGCTGGTTGGCCTGCAACTTACGCGGAGATGTGGCATGGCCGTTCAGCGAATGTAAGGCATTCATGAAATCCTGACGAAGGATTCGAACTTGCGCTCACCCAATCGTTACATAAGAATTTAACACTGTAATGCGTAGCTCAATCTCTTAGGTTGTTTAGCAACTAACATATAAATGTTCAAAAAGTGCTTATGAGAGAGGAAAGCAAAGAAATTGCGATTGTCGATCTGGGTACGCGGCGCGCTGCCGGCGCCATTGTCACTATTCTACGAGTGGTATTTTAGTATTTTTAGTATTTTGGCCGAACATGTCATAATTGCGCTTCCTCACATCGCTACAAATCTGTGGAATTACTACGGCCCGGATGTACCCACATCATGCAGCTGTTTCACACCAAAAAGTATGTTAATGCCGACGCGAACTTGCGTTGAAACGCTGGATATCCTTCCAAATTTTCTGAAAGTATAATACCTGATTATCTTTACAAAGCACTAGGTGTGAATTAAAGGTCATACTTCTGCAATGCTCCAAGACTATCTCCAAGTAATGTCATGACCATGTAACAATAAAGTTCTTTTTTCCCCGAATGAATTAGCTGTGGTACATGGGGTCGTCCCGCTAAGCGCTTCAGAATCTGTTTCGCTTTTATAAATCTGTATTGGTCGCAGATATCTTGTTCATACCTGAACTTCTAATTTTAATACAGTTCCTCCTGCAACAAAATTCGATTCGGCTTTCAACGCAGCCTGAAAATGCAAACAGCATCTAACAGATCCTTTTTCGAAAAAAAACATCCTTAATGTCGAAACATCATCATTATCGCCATATACGCTTGCATACCAGTAAACTTTCCAAGGTGTACAGGATTTTTCAGCGACAGTGATACAGCTCCAACGGCCCGGAAACTCTCGTCTCGCTCGCATTTGTGACTTTATACTCCGGGTATTTTCTACCTGTCAGGGCGTGCGAAAATGCTCAGAATATAGTATATCAATGCAGCACAAAGCCTGAGCAAGGTGACAGCGATGACCGAAGTCGCAGGACCCATGACATCTCCACTGAAACAGATAACGTGAACAACGTGCGCTTGAATAAATTGGGGAGTAGGTACAGGGCTTTTCAACCTGAGAGTCGCAAGTTTCGCTTGCGCGGCTCCTCCAACGCGGCCGCCTCGCTCAGGCCGCGCGCGGCGTTTGCTGCGTATCGCCCGGATTTCGCCAAGCTTCAGTCGACGCGCAGCCAGCGCCACGAACGCTGCGCGGACCTAAGCGTGGCGTCCTAGCGGGGCGGGTGGGACACTCAGGTTGTAAAGCCCTGTAGTTGAGAGAGGGATTTTCTCCCGCTGTCGTCATTTCAAATCCGGTGCATGGCTGTACATATTGTCGACTGTCGACGTCAGGTGATAAAAAGACTGACGTTAGGCTGGTAGAGTATTGTTCTCATCAGCATAACGTTTGCACTAGAGAGTTGCCATGGAGACTTCTCATGCTTTGCACCGATAACGCTAGGAGTATATACAAGGCCCTACGCCGTTTTCCATGAGAGGTACTTCTTTTTTTGCAAGCAAGGAAGACCTGGAGGATTAGGCCACAGTTGAGTGCTAGGACTGCTCATCTTTTTGAAGTTGAATGTAGAACGATTAACTCGTTCAGCTTTCCTACTAGCAAACAGAATGAGCCAAAGGAGTGCATTTCTTACTTCTGCCTTTCTCGATTAAGGCACATATGTCTTCGAAGGAGCATTTGGACTACTTCGATGTTCGAAAAAATTGCCTATATCGTCTCTCAATGAATCGTACAAGGGACTTGGAGAGAATTTCGAAGATATATCGATTCTGGAGACGTCTGATTCGTCTTTCTCTCCCAAAAGGATTCATCACCGGTTGGAGAATTCCAACAAGGCTAGTTATTCTAAGGGAAGGGGTGATATCGAAGGTATCGTTAGTCGCCCAGCCTAAGAACAAACAGAACTTCGCAAGAAATTTGCATGAATCATACTAAAACGCTCGAAAGCGACTTGGATCTGCGAGCGGCTTGATTACAATATTAGGCTTTGCTGATTGTGAAGAAGTCATCTACCTTCGTGCCATCCTTCAGCATTAGTCCATCAGTTTATGGTCCAGATTATGTGAGGATTTTGTCTGCAGCTGTAGAACTGTATGACACTGACACTGCTATCGATGGCCCATGAATACATCGAGCAGGGAAATTGACGAAACAATACTGCTAAGTCTGACGAAACCTAACAGAGGACGATGGTTACTAATGATTGAAAGACATGTTCCTCAAATCTTTGGATAGCATGAATTTCCCATTCTCTCTCACTCTCCTCACTGCCACTGCCTTGTTTTGAACACTCTCAACTCAAAAACTCCACAGAGTTGCTTGAGTTTGTGTCAGAAGTTGGGAAAGGCAGAGAGATGGAAGGCTCACCAGTTCTTAAGTAAACCTCGCTTCAAACAAATGATCCTTGTCGGCACAAAAATGAACAAACTTAAACTAGCAACTACTTTGCATAAGCTTCAGGCCTCGGGCATAGTCCAAGCGATTTCATCGCCTCGCGATTCGCCTTCGGCATGACAACTGTTACAAGTCCATTGCATGCCGAACTTCCTGCATTCCTGGTTGTGATAGTTTTACGACACGACTAATCGAGATTAACTATCATAACCGAAATGAAGCGTGATCGACGCGCATGGACTTGTAACATTTGTCTTGCTGGGGTATCGCTAAGCGACTCGCATGAACTATGCCAAGCCCTCTCTGCGGTGCTTTCGTTCTAGGTAGAGTGTAGGATCTGTTTTATGCCAAACACGCAGTATTCTCCAGCTGCGGGTCTGTCCACCGTCACTCCAAAATAAGCTTTGAAGGCGATCACCAGCCGAATATGTGAATATGTGATTTCGAGCGTGTATGAATTTTGTGAGTGCTCTGTGGCTTGATTTGCTTTAATCTGAGGCCTAATTAGTAGGCCGCAAGGCTCTATGTGACGTCGTGCTCAATCTGAACAATTTAAAAGAGAAGCAACTCACAAAACTAGTTTTGTTAGTGATGTCTTGTACTTTGTAAACGGCGCCACAGCCGCCTTCTCCGAGTTTCTTTACTATCTTCCATTTTCTTCCCACTACTTTTCCTTTTGGTAATTGAACAGGACCTGAGTCTGAAGAATCATGGACGTGAAAGTAGACTCAGTGCACCACGCGGCTGACCTGACATAGGTCGGCAAGTATTTGTTAAGATTCATAAAAATGAAACATACTCACTTTTTGGCTTTTCAAGTCGCAAGTGTTTGTCTGTAATCATAGCATGTGTATCACGCGCAGCTTGATTGGTACTTTTCATTCATAGTCATTCGTCAACTCCGTGAAGGTGTCTCATGCATCAGCTGCCATGCTAGTGGGTCTCAACGGATCTTTGGCGCAAGATTTGGAAATAGGCCACTGTCTTCAGAGAACTATACTGGAAGTCTGCATTGCGATAGCTTTGGGCCTGGTGGCTAACTTTTGCTCCAAAGGAGGGACGAGGAAACGTGACAGAGACGGAGCGGGTGTAATCGTAAATCAAAGCAACATTTGTAGAAGAGCATTTGCTTCTAATGACTAGTATTCAGGCTGCTGGAAACGACGAAGAGATCGACAAGGTTGGAAGAACTGCAAACAAACCCGCCCAATAGCAAAGCTGCTCAAATACCAATTTTATCATCTTTCAGGACAACTCTGACGCATTGAACAGCAGTGAGGTGCCAAAAAAGGTGGATCGCATAGAATCCAAAGAGAAGGCGCAACAGCTAAGAAGTGCGGAATCTATCAGCAATGATGCCAAGAGAAGTAGTATAGACCGTCGCAGTGGTCATAGTGACGGTAATCGCAATGCTAACAAAGCAACGCACTCGACTGAACGACAAACACAATCAAAAGCCAAGACTAGACGGACGACTAGTCTAGTAGAAAAGAAGACCAAACCAACACAACCGAAGCTTACTTTGAAGCACGACCGAAGCCTTGAGTTACCCAAACGCCCAACTAATATTGTCGCACGACCCATTCGAGAAGCCGTGAATGAAGATATTGAAGTAAGCGCATTGTCGTATGTATATCCATAATATCGTTTGCTGATGGCATCATTTAGGACGGCACTTACGAAGATGTCAATCTAGTGGGACCGTCTGCTACGTGATAACGAGAAGACAAATATCATTTGTTACTCAAATTATTGTCTTGATAAAGAATCGGTTGCAGTACATCATATCAACGAACTAACTGCTTAATTCGCTGTAATAAATCGTTTTGATAGACATTGGTTTAGGTGTTTCTGTCCGCACTTCAGTGAATCTATAGGATTGGACATATGTTATATGAAACTGTTCTTCAATAGTAAGTGACCGCCTTGGGTCGACCTTATTGGAAGGGCTGGTCAGTGCGTACCACTTCAAGAATGTCTGAAAATAGAAAAAATAGCTGGCATTCCGTATAGATATACTCTCAAAGAACCCGTAGTCATAGCTTGTCCTGCCTCTTGGGCCGGTATAATCCGCAGATCTCCGTCACTGCCATTGACTCGACGTGTGATTGTTGAAAACTAACAATAAGATCCACATCTAGGCCGTAAAAACTTTTTTTTACAAAATATGCCTAGTTGAGGATATTATAATGACTTTGAGAAAACCCGCATAGAGATTCGAGCTCTTGATCCTTCCTCCTATAGAAGAAAAGTAAGAGGGGCAGTAGGTGCAGTTCGCAACTTCGCCAAGTAACCTGCTGGCAACCTGCTGGCAACCTGCCGCACCTCTTCGACATTTGCGAGTGAGCGCCGGCCGGGCAAAAAGCACGAGAATTAGTGTGTTCTTCTAGAGAGAAAGGTGCCAGCACTTCGACGTGCCCTTCCACGTCGAGAAGCTAGCATCTTGCTGGTGGCATCTGCGAATTCGGAGAACGTGCAGAATCCTCCAAAAAATCTCCGCCTCTTCTCTATGCGCGCCCCTAGGAGGCATAATACTTCGCGCCAGCTTCGCGCTCACGTCGCACATAGCTCGCAAATTGAATCAGTTTCTCTCCATCTTTCGCCGTATTTGTCTCAACAAAATTCGGAAGGTCAGCACAAGGATCTAAATATAAATTTAAAAGAGACAGTGTTGAATGACCTTCATTGAAATAGACAGGCAAACGTAAAGTATAGCGGCGTAAAATAATTTCTGAATGATTTATTTTGCAAGGCTCCTCTTTAAAAAAAAGAGGCATACTTTCAGTGATAGGTGACGGGAATTTTGTGACATTTTTCTTTCAGAAAAATTGAATATGCAAGAAAGCGAAAATAAACATAACATTTAGGAAACAAATCAGTTGTAGAAAATTATATCGGTATATTTCGGTTTGCATCCGTTCCTTTAAGATAATATACCCATTTGAAAGCGTTAGTTGTCGTAGGAAAACTTGTAGTTTGAGGACCCAATGAGAAGGACGAAAATGACTTTGATCTGACCTTTCGAAAAAGTTTCCGAAAAAAGAATTTTTTGAGGCGGAAATTCAAGGCTTTGGCTAAGTAAAAATAAATGTTCAAGTCTTCCCGGCAATGAATGGAGTAATGAATAGCATAAGTTTACCAGACTGGAATTATCAACCGCATGCGCCTTGGCAGTAATCATGGCCCCATTTGAGCTCACAGACTACAGTTGTGAATGTTTTATTGTAGGCGCGTTGAATTTGCTTCAAAACTCTATAACTCCTCTCCCACAGGCGCTTTGCAGATACCGAGACCAGATTTGGAATAATTCGTACCTACAAGATGGTATGCATTCTATATGGAAACGCCGCTTCGCAGGTACCCAATCTTTGTCAGAAAATCTGATCTCAATTTGCAACCCATGCTTGTTGAGAAGGTCAAGCTTCGCTATTTTTTTTGAATTTCGTACCAACTTCTATTAGGTCCTTCAATTTTTCGAAGAAGATGAGGTTTCGAAAGAGGAGTCCAAGTTGAACTCCTTCTAATAATTTGAACGCTTTAAAGAAATTGGGAACATGGGGTTGCGATGAAGCATTCAAGAATGACCTCCGTCCAAAGATAGAGAAATGTAATTTACCACGAGAAAGCCGTAAAATATCAAGTTGTCCCAAAAGTAAATTCCTTTTTGAATAATTGAAGCTGTTTTTGTTTTCCTAGTACATTTTGGGCATCATTTGATAGAGCAGATCAAGCTCTACAAAATGACCGCCAAAGGTTCGCTTAAGCCGCCTTCCATGTAATTTTTGAAGCCAAAATCGAAAAAAAATTTGTGACCTGAAAATTGAATTTTTGCGAAGAAAACCCCTACGGATCTCCAACCTTGTTCAATATACAGTAGGCACATAGTAGTACTCAAATATGCCTTTATTGGTTTTATTCCGAGCTTAGAAAGCGAGAAGTATAAGGCCGAAAATGGCGAACTCCGCCCAGGCCCTCCCACATATGTTATTGTATACTACAGTCGCTTCATTTCATATGATCATGTGTGCCATTGCACACACAATCCACCTTTGACGTCCTCATCCTGGATTCGCAATCACAAAATCGCAAGGGAATGACCGATTGTTATCGATTACAACAATTTGAGGTGATTAGTAACTAAAAAGGAAAGAAAATGCTAAGAACACCTTGGAAACACTTACCTGAAGGCTTGTTTCTCCCACGAATCCAGGATGGGGACGCCAAAGATGGACTGTGTGTGCAATGACACACATGATCATATGAAATGAAGCGACTGTACAAGCCTTACTAGGCACAAACCCAAAATTTCACCCCCGTATGTGATCGTATAATCGAGAAATACCATTTTTTACGCAAAAATTTCGAAAAAAGTGGCATTATGGCATTTTGGGATCACCTTTGTTTCCCAATTTTGAACTCCGGAAAAAAATCCAGCAGATACACTGGGTATTATTATCTGTCTACTATATAAAGACCAAGTTGGAAGTCCGTAGGGATTTTCTGGAATGAAAACCGATTTTTTGGGTAGTTGAAAAATTTTGATCTTTGGCTCCAAATTTCACCTGGGTTACGAATTAGGTGGACCTTTGGTAGCCTTTTGGTCTGCTTTCTCCGCTCTACCGAATGGTACCCTAAATCTATAAAAAAACAAAAACAACCCAAGTTATTTGAAAATGGAGTTTACTTTTGGGACAACCTAATAGAATAAGGTAGATACCACTCTTTTTAATGAAACAATCCAGACCTTTTCCTTCTTTGGGTATGAATGAACCTAATTCCATTTGGTAACATTCATTCAATTTGCTATTCCTAATGAACATCATCAGTCTTCACTACCGTGGATCCAACAGCTCCTTGAATTTTCTTCCATGCATTGGGTGTCATATCATCATCTCCATTATATGATAGTAAAATATCATGCTCCAATATATGAGAGTAAAATATAGTTGTCTTGCTCGACAATTCGTATGGCACATGGGCTGTGTTGACATTGATGATAAAAACTTTATTGTTTCAAAAATCCTTCTAAATTATTTCCTTAGGAAAATAAAAGAAACATTTACTAATGTGTTACATGAAGCCTCTTCACGCTTCCAAAAGGCAACGATGATGTTGAACAAGAAATTAGATAAGCCAGCTGAAGATGACTTTCAAGTCTATTCTGCACACCTTCAGCCACTGCTGACGTCCTTTGAGCGGTTTTCTAATATAATGATGTTTGTATGGTCAAGGCGGCCGCACAATATGTCTTCCGAAGAGAAAAGGCAGTTGTGAGTTGTTTCATTTCATCAATAGTGTGTGCAATATTTTGTTTGAGTCCGCGAATGTGCCACGGTGTCATGGCAAGACGATGTATTGAATATCATAAGGTTGTCAACCAGTTGGTGAGTTGATAGAAACAATGATTTATTTTATTTTATTTGTTTCAGATTAAATTGCGCGAAGATAAACATAAAGGAAACTTGAAGGATCTCAAAAAAGGCAAAAGCTAAGAATCATGCTTCTTCACAAGTACCAGGTAAACAGTAACAACTGCTTCTTCACTGTTTCTCGAAATGTGATTAAACCTTGCGGTTGATTTCAGAAATCAACCAGAAGTATCAGACTATGCCAAGATCTATGGATAGTCGAACATGAATTCTTGTGATTAAAACTTAGAAGCTCAGAATACTAGTGAGAGTTGTTGAATGAAATTAGCATGCGTGAAAACCCTATTACATACTCTTACAGAATCTAAAAATAATGACGGATTTTCAAAGGGGACTTCGTAAGAAATTTTCAAGATCAAAGGGGACTTTGTTCTGAAATTTCCTTGGTGGCAGCTCTTGCCGAGCCCTGAGTCCAAGAAACTGATGGATGAAGCAAGTTCTACAGAAAACAGTACATTTTGTGTCTCCCTTCCATAGCTTGCCATTATTTTTTTAAAATTTTTTTGCTGAAAGCACAGGATTTCGGCCGACCTAAGTCAGACATAAACGCATCAAACACCATGAATCCTCGGAACTTGTCCCAAGACGTTATTATGATTCAATACTAATTTCACAAGGCAAATGAGACTTTACGGGTCCGATTAAAATTTCATATTTTGCAGGTAGGGTTCGCGGAGCGTTCGAAAACATGTATTATGTCCCAAACGATCTTTCCTGTTTGACTGGTTTCACCTCGGACTTCTGTTTTGTTATCTATTCTTCCGACGCTGCTCAAAATTTTTGTACGAAAAAGCCATAGTCCTAGAGAGGTTAGGAAAAGGACGAAACAAGTCGCAATTCATAGAACATCTTTAATGGCAAACCATAGTCTTTCTAAAAGAGTGCAGCGCTATAAGTCAGCTAGTACACTGCAGATTAGAAGTGAATCTCTATGCCTATATTGAGTAAATTTTCATTGACAATCGAAATTTCAAACTCACTTTTAGAAACCTCGAAAAAAAATTTTTGCTGAGTACATCGTATATCTAATCCTAGAAAGGACTGACCTGTTCTTGTACCTGTTCATGTACTTTTTCACTTCATTTGTGTGCAGTCATGAAAATTAATATTGAAATTGACCACCCTGACGTAGTGTTTTCCTTGGAACATAAATCACGCGTGCCGGTCAGTCACATGTTCTGGCGGATTATAGCGTTCGTTACTAATAACGAGTGCTTCCGTAATCGCACAAAAAACCACGTTTTAATCTACTGAAACGACCTTGCTAAAGCGATTTGTCAGCTGACACTGATCGCAGACATCCAGGGGCCAAGTACGATGGAGTTATCCAGCTATGAAGTCGATTTAGG